TGTAAATATAACTCCAAATATTTTTTATTTATACTCTCTTTTTCAAGATACGAGTAATCGCACGCGATGTATCACGTGTTGTTCTTGTTTTCTTTTTTTTTTTTTTTTTTTTTTATTCAAATTTATCTCGTATCGCAACTGTAGAACAAAATTTGTGTTCTTCTTTTAACTTCGCTTATTTTTTTTGGTAATTTTTGTACTTTTTTCATTTTATTTGTTTCATTATAGAGCCGCAAAGGATCTCGAAGAAAGACGCAGTCATTATGAACCATCAATTGGTCCAGGTGTACCAGATCATACCGATGATCCGTTATTTAATTTTGAAGAAAATGACTTTGTACCACACTTTCAACGAGTTTCAATATCCGGCGAAGATACATCGGGAGTAAGTTTAATTTCCAAATTAAATAAATAACAAATAAATATGTAGAGACAAATAATATTAAATAATTATTCGAATAAGAAATGAAATCCTTGGGAATTAGGAACAACTCATGTGATGTTTCTTTCGATACTTAACTTTGTCGAGAAACCTTGCGTGTGCATTTGTCACTCGAGAAACCTTTGTCAAACACGAGCCTTTTACTATTATACTTTAATATATATATATATATTTTTTTTTTCTATTCACGTGTACATTAACGAATAGAAAAAGAAAAGGAAGATAAATGATCTTGTTTGATTTAACAAATATATAAATCATTTATTTTCAAAAGTGGCCTAACTCCATTTGTCAATTATTATTAATTATTAATTAACAAAACTCCATTTTTTGTCAATTTTTATTTTCCAGTTGCCAGTGATGGTTACTTGTAATGATAGATACAAGTGATAGAAATATCATAAAAAGAAATAATTTACCGTTTGCAGACAAATTTAACATACGAAATCATCACTGTGTAGGATTGATAAAATAATTAGGTTGAAATAGAAAAAAAATGTTAAAATTAAAATGTTATAATGTTAAATTATCTTTATTAGGAATATTATTACCGTTTTACACATGCGCGACATAATGAAAGTCATATAAACAACTTTCTATGTTAAAATTTGGATAGAGAACAACGTGCCAGTCTAAAGGTGAATTTCGAAGAGGAACGTACTCCGAAAATATATTCGGTTCTTTTAAACAATACTCGATACTTCTATCGATTAATTAACAATTATTTCAATATTTTAATACAATTTTTGTTTACAGTACAACACAATTTACCCTTCGAAGTCATCACTACGCAGGAGTGATAAAATAATTACATTAACAATGCAAAACAATGTTAAGATACGAACATTATAATCCTAATTTCTAATATAAATGAAGTTAGACCACTTTCTAAATAAATGGCTCATATCTTTCTCTATTTTCATTGAACAAATATTTAATGAACAGTGAACATAGTGAATGTATAGTTAAACGATGAAAATAACGTACGTAGGTCATGATATCATCCTCTTTAATCGATCATTGACACATATTTAACTTACTTTAGTTATCGAACGGTTCAATTAAGTTAACAAGAATGTCGCAAGAATTTTATTATCTTAATAAAAGAAAAGAAAAGAAAAAAAAAAGAAAAAGAGATCTAATAAGAATATTATACTGTATAAAATATTTCTGTTTATAATCTATGAATTGTTTGTTATAATCTATGAATTGTTTGTTATAAGGTGGGTGTATATTTACAGGTACCATTGGAGGATCTTCAACAGGCATCGCAGATGCTTGTTCAAGCCTTGGTTATTCGAGAAAGATATATGAACAATTCTAAACAAAGTTTTCCTTCTATCACGACCAAATTTTTACGTAGCATTGATAAACGACCTGTTACTTCCAACGACGAAGTTCAACACGATGATCGCAAAGCTATCGCAGGTACGTGTGTGTATATATAACAAATWGAAATTAATTTTAACATTTACGTATTTAAATACGTGTTTTAATATAAAAAAAAACATTTGAGTTTATGTTATATTGTTAGTTTTGATTTGAAATATAACAAATAATAATAATACAATTATTTTTGCAATCCTTTTTTTCTATAAGAATATTAATATAGAATTTAGATTATAATAATATAATAATATAAAATTGTAATTAAACGAAACATTCTCGAGTCATATTATATTGTTAGTTTTGATTAGAAATATAATAACAAATAATAATGCAATTATTTTGTCAATCATTTCAGATCATCCGGTACACGCGCCAGCATCCCGTGGTGATCCTTGGGAATGTAAATTTCCTCCATCTAAAAATTACACTATATTACCTATAAACGGTGTATTCAATGTTTTCGCAAACGAAGAAGATGCGAAAAATGGGGAACCACTTCCTTATTCCTATCCAGATTTAGGAGTTTTTGTTAGAGACATGAATCTTCTTTGTGCCATGATTGCAGACGGCCCTTTGAAATCATTTTGTTATAGAAGATTGAGTTATCTTTCATCGAAATTTCAATTACACGTTTTGTTAAACGAACTCAGAGAATTGGCCAGTCAAAAAGCTGTTCCACATAGAGATTTTTATAATATCAGAAAGGTTGACACGCATATTCATGCTGCTTCGTGTATGAATCAAAAACATCTTCTTAGATTTATTAAAAAAACATTGAAAAATCATGCCGAGGAAATTGTTACTTGTTCGAAAAATGGTGAAACCATGACACTAAGCGAAGTTTTTCAATCAATGAATTTAACTACGTACGATTTAAGTGTAGATATGTTAGATGTACACGCTGTAAGTTTCTTCTTCTTATTATTATTATTCTTCTTTTTATTTTTTTTATATATATTTTAAAATTATCAAATTATTCTACAAAAAAAAGAAAAACGTTTATTTCCTTGTTTTCTTTTACAGGATAGAAATACATTTCACAGGTTCGATAAATTCAATGCTAAATATAATCCTATAGGTGAGAGCAGATTACGCGAAGTTTTTCTTAAAACTGATAATTATCTTAATGGTAGATTTTTCGCAAGTATAATCAAAGAAGTAGCTAGCGATCTTGAAGAATCCAAATATCAAAATGCTGAATTACGATTGTCCATTTATGGTAAAAGTCCCGAGGAATGGGACAAGTTAGCTAAATGGGCGATACAGAGTGACGTTTATTCTGACAATGTACGCTGGCTTATTCAAATTCCAAGACTTTAGTACGTATTTCAACTTATTTACATTATATATATATATATATATATATATATATTAGTTATATATATACTTATATTATAACTAATATAGTATATATATAGTATATACTAATATAATTATTATATACTTATAATAAATTAGTAAATAACAAATATTAGTTAATTATATATATATAAATATAAAAAATTAATAACTTATTTTTTATTTATAGCGATATCTTCAAATTAAATAAACTTATAACCAATTTCCAAGAAATTTTGAACAATATATTTTTACCTTTATTCGAAGTTACTAATGATCCTAATTCTCATCCAGAATTACACAAATTTTTACAATACGTAAGTAATAAAACTCTGATATATATATATATATTTCAAAATAAAATATACATTTATTATGCTATTATTTATTTAATATTTATTCATACAAATAGGTAATAGGATTTGATTCCGTTGATGATGAAAGTAAACCCGAAAATCCATTATTTGATAAAGATGTTTGTCCTCCAGCTGAATGGGACGACGTTGAAAATCCACCATATGGTTACTATCAATATTATACATACGCAAATATGACCGTACTAAATCACTTTAGAGCGTAAGTTAAATTATTAATTAAAAAGAGAAGATTATAAAAAAACAAAAAACAAAATGATTTGTAAATGTAATTATGATTTATTTCATAGCGAGCAAGGTTTCAATACTTTTGTTCTTCGTCCTCATTGTGGAGAGGCTGGACCGATTCAACATCTTGTTTGTGGTTACATGATGGCCGAAAATATTTCTCATGGACTTTTGTTAAGAAAAGTTCCCGTACTCCAATATTTGTATTATTTGGCACAAATTGGCATTGCTATGTCTCCGTTAAGTAACAATTCTCTTTTCTTAAATTATCATCGTAATCCTTTACCCGAATATCTTGCCAGAGGATTGTGCGTAAGTCTTTCAACGGATGATCCTTTACAATTCCACTTTACAAAAGTAAGGAAAAGAAAAAGTCATAATATTATAGTTCATATTACTATGAATGTTTACTTTAAAAATATTGATTTGTTTATAGGAACCTTTAATGGAAGAGTATAGTATCGCTGCACAAGTATGGAAGCTCAGTTCATGCGATATGTGTGAATTAGCACGTAACTCAGTTCTTATGAGTGGTTTCCCACATAAGGTTTGTTTTCGTATTTATGTAATAGGATTGATTTTAATAATAATTATAATAATGTTAATTTGGAATTATTTTCTAGAGTAAACAATACTGGCTTGGCCCAAATTATACGAAAGAAGGTGTTGCCGGTAATGATATCACTAGGACCAATGTACCAGACATACGAGTGGCTTATAGATATGAAACTTTGGTCGATGAATTATGCAACATTTGCAAAGTTGTTGAAAAACCGGAATCTATACTATTTTAAAAACTTTGATTAACTTTGCAAGATATTCTATTATATTATTAGAGTACAACGATATATTTTCCTTTGAAACGAGTCATCTCACAATTATGGACAAAAACAAAATTTATAACAAAACAGATAAGTTTCTTATTTCTTTAATGAAATAAATTCATTTCATTTATCTTACAATTTTTACTAAGCATTTCTGTATGATATATATATATATATAGATATATATTTTAAATAGCTAGACTCCTAAATTAATATTAATACCATAATGTTTCTCGTTAATTATATTTCTTAATACGAACAAAAAAGAAAAAAAAAGAAGATCTAACTGTATTATATTTATCAAAGTATATATGTTAAAACTAAAAAAAAAAAAATCTGACAATACCTTTTATATATATACATTTTGGTATCGAATAATTATATTTTTATTTACTATGCATATTTCCATAGTTACTTATAAGTGAACAAATTATTAATAATCCTTATATAGAAGTATCTTTTGCAAATATATCTTTGAAGTTCTTATTCAATGACAAAGAACAAAAGTAAATGAGACAGAAACGAACTTTTAAATTTGCGTATGTTGACCAATTGAAAAACAAAAATGACCTTATTGTTAATTAGAAATATTCCCCTTATTTTATTTAAATATCGATTAGTTTATTAGAGTTTGATAAATATACAAAACAAAATATCTCTCTCTTTTTTTTTTTTTTTTATTATTATTATTAAAATACTCCTTTAATTTAAGCTTTTAGTTTCTTACATTTTTTTATACGTTTATATAATAATTGTGTATAAAGTATAATCGATTTAATTAATATAATTAACATATTAAACGTTAAACAGCCTAAATAGAAAATCCTAGGGCAATTCATAGAAAGATCAGTGTGACGTTTAACGTGTTAATTATGATTTTCGTATGTAACAAATTATTTTATTTTGGCATATACCTATATATACATATATATATATATATCTATATTATGTACATTATATTATTATTATTATTATTATTTTTATTATTATTACTATTATTAATTTAACAAATTTATTGAAGGATTAATTGTTCATTATTAAATAATATGTATATGTATATATCAATTTACAATTGTTATTAAATTTGGTCAAATTAATTAGATCTTAATCTATTTTTAAATTTACTCTTTATGGTAAAAATTTATCAAAAAGATTGTTTTATTCATGAGCCTACAATTTATATATAGATATATTATAATAAGACAATTAATTATTATAATGTATTTTACAATTAGTAGATAATCTTTATGCTAATATTTTGTTTTGTAGAAAAAGACAGAAATATATAATATCCATATATATATACAGGATGTCTGAACTATCTCCAATTAAACTGTATCAAATCCTTAAACAGACCTATATTTACATAACATTTGTTTTTGAAGTGAAAACTTCTTTAGAATGAGTGTAATTTGAAAAAAAAAAGAAAAAACGTGTGCATATCACACTAGTTAAAAGTAAAACCTTCAAATAAACAAGTTTCAAGAATAATTTATTATATAATATTATTTGTACTTTTTATTTGTACTTTTTATTTGTAATTATTTATTTAATTATAAAAACATTGCGCCTGTATGAATGCAACCCTCCAGACACATTTTGAAAATGTTGCTTGCGAACGCCATCTACTGGGACGGAATTTTTGTGCAGTCAAAACTGTTTATACACGTATGTATGACAGGTTGCCTATCTTTCGGGCAGAAAAAAATTCCATCCCAACAGATGGCACTCGCAAGCAACATTTTCAAACTGTGTCTGGAGGGTTGCATTCAATAGGCGCAATGTTTTTATAATTAAATAAATAATTAAATAAATAATTACAAATGAAAAGTACAAATAATATTATAATAATATTATATTATAAATTATCCTCGATACTTGTTTATTTCAAGGTTTCAATTCTAACTTGTGTGATATGCACATATGTTTTATTTTTTTATTTTTGTGCATAAAATACACTTATATCGTTTGATTGAAAAATTCTTAGACATCCTATATGTACATATATATATATATATATAATATTATTTAATTTTTTCATTTCTTTTTTAATACCAGTTATTAAAATAAGTAACTTTCTTTACTAGTAATACAGCTTCAATTTAATTATTTCCAAAACCTCATTTTAAATAAACAAAAAAACAAAAAAAAAACAATAACAAATTTAAGACTATATATACTTATTGTACTTTTGCTTTCTTTGTAGTATCATATTGCAGACTTTGAGAGATTTTCGATACAACCTCTGTAAATATTATTGTACCCGTAAAGACTAGAAATGTACCGATCCAATGATATAAAGTAAATGGATTCTTGAAATAAATGATAGAGAAAATCAATGAGAAGAATTTTCTTAAAGTTATTACCAATGTTACAGTAAGAGATGTGCATTCTGTAGTTAAAACAAACACAGAACTTATGCACATATATCTGTAATATATAAGTTAGGAAAAATATATATATATATATGTTATATATTCTAAATACGATATTATGATAAATTAATCATAACAAATATAAAATATTATAAAAGGATACTGCGTAAGAACGTTTCCAATTAAATAGACGATTACTTTAGGCATTGATAAATTAATCACAGGTATAATCAATGATTCCGATGCCATTGCCAAAACAAAATGGTCATAAATGTTAAACGTCAGAGGTAAAAAAAATGGAAACGATAATAAATGCTGAAATAAATCATATAAATTATCTTTTCGATTAATGAATCTTTGATAAATATTATATAACTCGATATAAATATACCACATTTATATTAGCTATATATATATATATATAATTATAAAATTTCTTACCGTGTAATATAAAGCTTCTCTTGCATTTTTTCCATATCGTGCATGTAAGACCTCTTGATAGATACCCATTCTAGCGGAAACAAATAATGCAACAGTTAATAATGTAATACCTAACATCCACCAAAAAAGATCATCCCATGGTGTAGTTGGAATGTGTTCAACGTTCTTAGCTTGTAATGATTTAATTTCTTTGCCGCTGACAATAGTGCATATTGCAATTCCATTGGTAATCATGAAAACAGATAAATATTTGCTAAATGAATAATGTTTATTTAATATTGCTATACCCATTATCATGTTTGCTATTAGAGAACCCTAAAAAATTATAAAATAATATATAATTGATACTTCGTTCATAAAATATATTCACTATTGTTTACTCACAGCTCTAAAAATCATATGAAGTGGCATCGGTATATTAAAATCAAATGCATAATTGTTACAAACATTGGAAATAAAAAACATTGCTACTAATATGAGGTAATCTTTTATACCAATGCTTGGTCTTACAGTTCCACATTTGGATGTAAATAAAAATCCTTCTAAAGATATAAAAAAGAATTGTGAGAATGTTATTAAATTTCCACTACCAGGATCTTCTCTGTAAATGAAATATCAAATATACAGAATAGTAAATATGTTCTTACATAGAGGTATTAAATAAATAATGTAAAAAGTAAATATTTTATATATACTAACTTAACAAGAAGTTCCAAAAAGACCACATTGGTGCAGCATCCCAAAAAAACACAAAATATTGCAATAGCCGCACGCATTTTAAATATTAATTGAAATTTTTTTCTTTAACACTTAACCTAAAAACCACTTCGAGCAACGTACCGCGAAATATGTAAAATAGATTGTGAGTAACATAAAGAATACAATCGTAGCTTTATTCAAGGTAATACTGATAAAATTCTATTCATGATAATTTATTTTATTACGTAAGCCATTTCACATGATACGTCAAATAAATAACATGATACTAACGTGTAAAGAATAATGAACCTTATATACCGATAATACAATCAATCAATTCAGACTCACTATCAATTAATTATTTTTTAATTAATTACTTTATTTATTTATATTAAACATATTTTTATTTATTTTCATTATAATTACAAATAAGTTACATACAAAAATAAATTAATATCATAAATAATATTATTTATATTATAATACATGTTATATTTTAGGTTAAGTGAAATATCTTTAAGATTAAAATAAATAATTGTATATATATGTTATATAAAATGATTTAGAAAGGTATGCAACTAATCAATGCTTTTCTGTAATTTAATATAAAACTTTTTAATAATATATAATTATTAATATTTAATGATATAATAATTTTAATATAAAACTTAAAAAAAAATTTAATATAAAAGCCGCGTTTTAAAAAAACCGCGCTTATGATTTTAGTTCTATATTATTGATGTCAGATGGCGCGACGACAGGTTATCAATAATTATTAATTAGATATGGAATATCTTTAATATATATTCATAATAACATTAATATAATTATATCACATATATTTTTTTTTAGTTATAAGAATCGAATTAAAAATGAAGTTATTTGATATTAATAATTGGCAACATTGTTTTAGGTTGCATAGAAGACGCTTGGTGAGTCAGCTGATCATTAGCTGAGTTATCGTTTAGTTGTCGGGTGGGTCGAGAGGCAGCAGCACGCTATCACGTGAGGTCACAATGGTTTCTGATTGTTTTAGGAAAGTCCGTCAGAACGAACGACTCTATTGAAATATTATCTATATTTCACTCGCGTTTAAATTTAAAATCGTCTAACAACAGAATCTAAAAAATCTTGTAAGTAAATATTTATCAGTCTTGAGTTAAAACAATTATCATAAATACACTTTAATCGCATATCAATACAAAGGATGACGTTAACCCAAATTTGACGACAACTGTGATTTATCGGAATTATAAATTTCCTTAATTTATGTTTATTCAATTGAAGTTTTATTAATTCAAGGTAGGATCGATTTTAATGAAAATTTTCTATCTGTGTCTACATATATCGAAAATAATTGATAATCGAGAACGATATGTTGGTGGTGTAGTATTGATTTTATAAAACGCTTGATTCGCATACATTGACACACGGATAGACGACAGGCGCCATTGTCATCGAGATAGTTACAGGTATCTTTTATCGGTAGTTCATTTAAAGTTTATTTCTTGATTCAAGGACGTTGCTTTTTCATATATTTATTCTTCAAAGATTCGAGATGTCATTTCTCTATATTTGTCGGTATCCAAGTATTCTGCGCCGCCATTCGAGTAGTAGTTGGCGCACGTCACGTGGAAAGCGCGCCTAATTACATAATATACTCGACTAAACGTTATTAATTACATGCCACACCCCCTTCTATAATTCGTTTATTTAATGATTATACTTCTATTACAAACTGTCTATTATTAATGCAAACTAATTATCAATTTTATTTAACTGTCATTAAATATATTGTTAATCTTATATTTTAAATTATTTCATTTGAATAAACGAATAAGTTATTTATTTGACACAATGTGTAACGTCGAGACAGATGGTTGTTTACAAGAAGAATATAAATTGATTAATTGTTTAAACCAAGGCTGCATCTGTTTTGTTAAATCAATGAAATGTATATACTTGTGCATTGACATGTTATAAAAGTGAGGGTTTTAAATGAGGGTTATATTTATCTATTTGTCAATGCAACTGAGAGTATGTATATGCATTTTTTAATTTATTATTTTCTTATTCTTTATACATAACCTTCTTACCATTAATACTATGTACATAATCATATTGTAATTGTTTATTCTATTACTATTTATAGATATTGAAAACTAAGGATTAAAACGCATCGTTCAAGATGACCGAATACTGGCTTATATCAGCACCAGGAGATAAAACTTGTCAACAGACATGGGAGACAATGAACAACTTAACTAACAAACAAAATTCTTTATCGGAAAATTTCAAGTTTCATATACCTGATCTTAAAGTGGGAACGCTAGATCAATTGGTTGGTCTATCTGATGATCTAGGAAAATTGGATGCATTTGTCGAACAAGTTACACGCAAAGTTGCCACTTATTTGGGAGAAGTTTTAGAAGATCAAAGAGATAAACTACATGAAAATCTTTTGGCCAATAACAGTGAGTATACAATTTTATTTAACGTTCTTTATTTCTTTCTATTTTATTTTTTTTTATTTTTGTATATACATATAATCTATTTCCAATAATAGAATAATTCATTATCTAATATATATCAATAGGGTCCAAAATTATTTCTAATTTATATTTGTCAATTTGAAACACATATAGAAATTTATTATCCCTTGTTTGGAAATGTCATGCTATTGTTCTTTTACCTTATTCTGCACTAAATTAAAGGTTTACATGCTAACATTGATATTATATTTTTTTTATTCATTTTACATTATAAATAAATGATATAGAATTCAATAAAAAAAAAAAAACAACAAAAACAAAAAAAGAAGTCATTTTAATAAATTGATAGATGTAAGCATTTTTATTTATTGCTGGCATGTAAATTTTTTATTGATATACAATGGGTGACCGATTAATGAATACCTCACAGAATAAATGTTGTTTTTTGATAATCAATCAACGAACAATTTGAGTAATGAACATCATCTTTGAATGAATTATATTCATTAATCGATCATCCACTTTATTATAGTTATTTAAGTAAACGTATCCTCACGTTCAATGATATTTTAAAAAAAAAAAAAAAAAAAAAAAAANTTTATTGTATGCAATTAAAAGTAATGGGGAAAGAACTTGATTGAGACAGAATTGTATTTAATTCAATCCAATGTATTAATTAAAAATGAACATAGTATATATTAATTATAGATAGACAAAGCTCGGGTGCTTTTAATGAAAGAAAACAGAGACAGTATTTATTCGTTATAAAAGAAAAAAAAAAAAATCGAGCTTACATTTGTTAGTAACATTTTTAACACTAAAACTACCGAAAGTTGAGACGTAACTATCTCTACCAGAATCAGTCAAAATGACTGGTCTTTAAAAAAGATGTAAAAAAAGATGAATAGTTTTATATTTATTGACTTATTATTATTATTATTTTACAAAAGGAACTCCATATATTCTAAGATACTAACTATATAATAACAATAAATACTTGATATCAAATCAAGTCAAAGATTAATCAGTGAAAATGATTGGTCTGGTAGTTTTTCTAGTGTTAATAAATTTTTGTTTGACTTGTAACATTTGTAATTGAAACAGTGCCTATGTGTATGATAAAAGTAGAAAAAGTATTAAATAATATAAGTAGGGTAGTAAGTAAATTGTAACGATGTTAGTGATGATATTAGTATTAGTGAAGAAGGTGGAGGTGGTAGTGAAAGTGGTGGTGGAAAAATATAGGGGAAAAATAGTTGGATGAGAAGCGTGTAAACGGAAGTATAATGTTGTATTGGTTTTTACACGTAATAGGAGGAACGCATACGACACGAAAATAGGGGAAGGGGTTGTTGCTTATGTGTGCTGCTGGTGATTTGCCCTCGCTATCGTTCCTCAGTACTTGCGCGAACGTTGACGCGACCGGACGTGCTAAACTTTTCTCCATAGTTTCATAATATTTCGAGAAGAAGAAAAAAAAGAATCAAAACTATGCACGAAACACAGAAATCACTGAAATAATTAAAAAAAAAAAACCCGTTCCGTTCTACTAAATTAAAAAACCAAATTAAACGAATTAATTTTTAACAATAAAAAAAAAAAAAAAATAGAAAAAAAAACAAAAAGTAAACACACAAAACTTTTATACACGGTGTTCTCTCCTTTTATTTTCAAACCAATTTTTAAATTATTTCTAATAAATTCTAAACTGTGTATTGTACTGTTTCATTTTTTTTAATTTTTTAATCCTGCGTGTACACGCGTATGTTTGCTGTGTGTGTGTGTGTGTGAGAGTTACGCATGTGTTTCGATGTCTCGAATTTTTCTTAACGGATCGATCGTGAAAATATAGATTGGATACATCTTACGTCATCATATTTTTTTTTTCCTTTTTATACTTTCTTCCTGTTTTTGCTCTCTCTCTCTCTCTCTCTCTCTCTCTCTCTCTCGCTTTCTCTCTTTTTTTTTTCTCTTTTTTAAGGGTAGTGGGGATTAGGTGGGGGAGTAATCGTACAACGAGTTACCGCATTACCGTGACATTGGACGGTTTCTTCTCTTCTACTGCAGCAGAGTGACACAACACACACCTTTCACATTTCATTTTTATTTTCAATTATTAAATTAATTCATCAATTGTTCTTAACATATATATACATACATACGATATCATCTGTGATACGAACACGTGGATTATTATTATTATTATTATTATTATCATCACGTTTTAATAAACAATGAAAATATTCTAATACATTAAATCGTCTTTTATACGTCAATAATATTAGGACTAGCTTTTGATAAATCGTATTTGGACACGTGTTAGTTGTTTAAAAAGGCATACTACACCTTTAATTTGATTGAAATTATCAAAGAGAAAACTGGGGTTTGATGTTTTGTAGCAACAGGTTTCAACTACTTGTCATTATCATGTTTCCCCCCCCCCATCCACACACACACACACACACACATTTTGCTCTAATTAGAAAACATTGAGAATAGAAATCAACTCAATTAGTATGAAATTGAATAGTGAATAATTTGTCAAACGATCAAAATTAAGCCCCCTTTTTTTTTTGGTTTTTTTTTCAATCGATCATATTTTATTTCCCCATTATGATAATTATTTCAAACATTGCACATATATCATTGTGATGATAGTTTGTTTTATATGTGTGAGAATATTTAATAGTGTGGGGGAGGTGGAGGGTGGGGGTAATTGATAAGGAAACATTCATGTAAAATAGATGTCAATATTATGAAACATTTATAATTGTAGATTGAAATTTGTTTACGTGTTTTTAAATGCGGTTAGATAAAAATAATACTTAATATTATGAAAAATCACGAAGTATTTAATTTCTTCAAATAAAATTCTATGATTAGGGACGACAAATCATGCGATATTACGATAGAAAAATTTGTGAAAAAAAAAAAAAAACAAGAAAAATGTTGTAACTTTGATTTATAGTTCAACGAGGACAAAAATATGAACACTTTAATAAAAAAACGATTACATTGAAACAATATTTTTCTTTATTTTATTTGTTTTTGTGTATTATTATTGTTATTATTATTATTACTACTTCTGGTATGTGAGATAAGATATTTATTTAAAGAGACAAATAATAAAAAGAAAAATAAAGATACATATTTAAAGCGTGTTTAAGTTAAGTTAAGTTTTGTGCGTCTTCAAATACGTACTTTTGAAACATAAAACTGAACAATAGTAAATAAGAAAAATAGTAATACGTAACATGTTTGCTGGTGCAAATGAATCGAAAAAATGGCTACGGGATAATACCATACTTCTGAGGTAAATCAAAAGATTTTTCTTCTTCTTCTTCTTCTTCTTCTTCTTCTTCTTCTTCTTTTTTTTCTTCATTAAACAAAATATTATTATGTGTCATAATATTTTTCTAGGAAAGGGATAAAACTTAAATATTAAAATAAATAATTAAAAAATTCAAATAACAAATTATAATATCAATTACGTTATTTTCAAATTAACCCTTTGAATGCTATGGACGCATATATGCGTTTGTTGTTACGTACGTTGTACGTGTTTGTTTATTTTAATGTAAAATAATTTAATATTTATATTAATCAATTAAATAATATTTAGAACGAAAAACTTTAATTATTAAATATAATTTATTATTAGAATTTGTTTAATAATAAATTATTATTGTTCCTACAAAACATTTTAGATAAAAATATTCAACACTCAAAGGGTTAAGATAATCTTATCTTAATATATATAGAAATTATGTGTCACGTTGTTTGTCCGCAATGGACTCTTAAACTACTGAACCGATTTTAATCAAATTTTGCACACTGTGTGCAGTTTCATCCAACTTGAAAGATAGGATAGTTTATATCTCAATTTATAATCGCAATATTATTTGTTTATTAACAAAGAGTCATGATTATCTCTGTTAATTTGATAAGATTCTAACAGATGGCGGTATAAGGTGTATTGGACTGATTGTGAGCCACAGCAAAGCGTGGTGGGGCACCCCTAATATATATATATATATATTTTTTTTTTATTTAATATACTATGACACGTACAATCAATAAAGTTAGACTGATCGAATAGAGTTATAATTTATCTCGACAGGATATCCATTTTAAAATATGATTATCCATCTTGTTAAGTTATTTTTAGTTCAACCGCGTGTATCTATTTATTATAATAACGATAATCATTAACCTTCTTAGAAATCATTCATCGTTTTATTAAATATATATTTTCTTGAATTATCAATGAAATATCAATTCGAATAAGTTCAATGTATTGAACCTCTATGGCCATTGTTTTTTTATCAATTATCATTTTTTAAATGTTTGTAAATATAACTCCAAATATTTTTTATTTATACTCTCTTTTTCAAGATACGAGTAATCGCACGCGATGTATCACGTGTTGTTCTTGTTTTCTTTTTTTTTTTTTTTTTTTTTTATTCAAATTTATCTCGTATCGCAACTGTAGAACAAAATTTGTGTTCTTCTTTTAACTTCGCTTATTTTTTTTGGTAATTTTTGTACTTTTTTCATTTTATTTGTTTCATTATAGAGCCGCAAAGGATCTCGAAGAAAGACGCAGTCATTATGAACCATCAATTGGTCCAGGTGTACCAGATCATACCGATGATCCGTTATTTAATTTTGAAGAAAATGACTTTGTACCACACTTTCAACGAGTTTCAATATCCGGCGAAGATACATCGGGAGTAAGTTTAATTTCCAAATTAAATAAATAACAAATAAATATGTAGAGACAAATAATATTAAATAATTATTCGAATAAGAAATGAAATCCTTGGGAATTAGGAACAACTCATGTGATGTTTCTTTCGATACTTAACTTTGTCGAGAAACCTTGCGTGTGCATTTGTCACTCGAGAAACCTTTGTCAAACACGAGCCTTTTACTATTATACTTTAATATATATATATATATTTTTTTTTTCTATTCACGTGTACATTAACGAATAGAAAAAGAAAAGGAAGATAAATGATCTTGTTTGATTTAACAAATATATAAATCATTTATTTTCAAAAGTGGCCTAACTCCATTTGTCAATTATTATTAATTATTAATTAACAAAACTCCATTTTTTGTCAATTTTTATTTTCCAGTTGCCAGTGATGGTTACTTGTAATGATAGATACAAGTGATAGAAATATCATAAAAAGAAATAATTTACCGTTTGCAGACAAATTTAACATACGAAATCATCACTGTGTAGGATTGATAAAATAATTAGGTTGAAATAGAAAAAAAATGTTAAAATTAAAATGTTATAATGTTAAATTATCTTTATTAGGAATATTATTACCGTTTTACACATGCGCGACATAATGAAAGTCATATAAACAACTTTCTATGTTAAAATTTGGATAGAGAACAACGTGCCAGTCTAAAGGTGAATTTCGAAGAGGAACGTACTCCGAAAATATATTCGGTTCTTTTAAACAATACTCGATACTTCTATCGATTAATTAACAATTATTTCAATATTTTAATACAATTTTTGTTTACAGTACAACACAATTTACCCTTCGAAGTCATCACTACGCAGGAGTGATAAAATAATTACATTAACAATGCAAAACAATGTTAAGATACGAACATTATAATCCTAATTTCTAATATAAATGAAGTTAGACCACTTTCTAAATAAATGGCTCATATCTTTCTCTATTTTCATTGAACAAATATTTAATGAACAGTGAACATAGTGAATGTATAGTTAAACGATGAAAATAACGTACGTAGGTCATGATATCATCCTCTTTAATCGATCATTGACACATATTTAACTTACTTTAGTTATCGAACGGTTCAATTAAGTTAACAAGAATGTCGCAAGAATTTTATTATCTTAATAAAAGAAAAGAAAAGAAAAAAAAAAGAAAAAGAGATCTAATAAGAATATTATACTGTATAAAATATTTCTGTTTATAATCTATGAATTGTTTGTTATAATCTATGAATTGTTTGTTATAAGGTGGGTGTATATTTACAGGTACCATTGGAGGATCTTCAACAGGCATCGCAGATGCTTGTTCAAGCCTTGGTTATTCGAGAAAGATATATGAACAATTCTAAACAAAGTTTTCCTTCTATCACGACCAAATTTTTACGTAGCATTGATAAACGACCTGTTACTTCCAACGACGAAGTTCAACACGATGATCGCAAAGCTATCGCAGGTACGTGTGTGTATATATAACAAATTGAAATTAATTTTAACATTTACGTATTTAAATACGTGTTTTAATATAAAAAAAAACATTTGAGTTTATGTTATATTGTTAGTTTTGATTTGAAATATAACAAATAATAATAATACAATTATTTTTGCAATCCTTTTTTTCTATAAGAATATTAATATAGAATTTAGATTATAATAATATAATAATATAAAATTGTAATTAAACGAAACATTCTCGAGTCATATTATATTGTTAGTTTTGATTAGAAATATAATAACAAATAATAATGCAATTATTTTGTCAATCATTTCAGATCATCCGGTACACGCGCCAGCATCCCGTGGTGATCCTTGGGAATGTAAATTTCCTCCATCTAAAAATTACACTATATTACCTATAAACGGTGTATTCAATGTTTTCGCAAACGAAGAAGATGCGAAAAATGGGGAACCACTTCCTTATTCCTATCCAGATTTAGGAGTTTTTGTTAGAGACATGAATCTTCTTTGTGCCATGATTGCAGACGGCCCTTTGAAATCATTTTGTTATAGAAGATTGAGTTATCTTTCATCGAAATTTCAATTACACGTTTTGTTAAACGAACTCAGAGAATTGGCCAGTCAAAAAGCTGTTCCACATAGAGATTTTTATAATATCAGAAAGGTTGACACGCATATTCATGCTGCTTCGTGTATGAATCAAAAACATCTTCTTAGATTTATTAAAAAAACATTGAAAAATCATGCCGAGGAAATTGTTACTTGTTCGAAAAATGGTGAAACCATGACACTAAGCGAAGTTTTTCAATCAATGAATTTAACTACGTACGATTTAAGTGTAGATATGTTAGATGTACACGCTGTAAGTTTCTTCTTCTTATTATTATTATTCTTCTTTTTATTTTTTTTATATATATTTTAAAATTATCAAATTATTCTACAAAAAAAAGAAAAACGTTTATTTCCTTGTTTTCTTTTACAGGATAGAAATACATTTCACAGGTTCGATAAATTCAATGCTAAATATAATCCTATAGGTGAGAGCAGATTACGCGAAGTTTTTCTTAAAACTGATAATTATCTTAATGGTAGATTTTTCGCAAGTATAATCAAAGAAGTAGCTAGCGATCTTGAAGAATCCAAATATCAAAATGCTGAATTACGATTGTCCATTTATGGTAAAAGTCCCGAGGAATGGGACAAGTTAGCTAAATGGGCGATACAGAGTGACGTTTATTCTGACAATGTACGCTGGCTTATTCAAATTCCAAGACTTTAGTACGTATTTCAACTTATTTACATTATATATATATATATATATATATATATATAAAATATATACTTATATTAAAACTAATTTAGTATATATATAGTATATACTAATATAATTATTATATACTTATAATAAATTAGTAAATAACAAATATTAGTTAATTATATATATATAAATATAANAAAAAAAAAAAAAAAAAAAAAAAAGATTTAACATCAAATGCACGACATTTTCTTGTATAATTTAATTGAAAAAAAAAAAAAAACGTGTTTGCATTTTGGACCCTTATAACAGGTATCGATCGATTCTTTTTTAAGTATATGATAAAAAGATCAATTGTCTAATTAAAAAGGCATGTCAAATGGATACTGTACACGACACAATACATATACACTACTTGATATTGATTTTACTTATAATAATCTTAAACGTATAATCTCACAGTTAGTTTGTTTAATATTTCATTTATTTATCTAACATTAATGAAAAGTCATTTTGTATATTTAACGATTAATCGTTTTCTTGATAAATATATATTAAAATATATTAAAGATACAAAGGGAATAGGGAAAATATTAAATTATAATTAATTTTGTCTGCATACACTGACTAATTAAATTATTTACAAAAAAAAAAAAAAAAAGAAAAAAATTCTACATCTATGTGATTGTTTATGTGAATGCAGACAAAATTTTTGTTGCTGTAGCGTACAGTAATAACTGTTACCGATAAATATGGTATGTACCACTATTTTTTATTTTTTGTTTTGTTTATAAATAATCATTGCAAATTATCTCTTTATTTTTTGTTTTCTCTTTTTATTACACTATGAGATTTATTCTAATTCATCGTATTATTGAGTGTCTGAGATTTCTGTGTATAAAATAATCCTAAACATTATTTGATTAGAAAAAAGCTCAGACACCACCATGTATATCAATGCATCGGTAGATAATAACAATATTTGAATCAATGATCAAATATACATATACATTTATAAATAATCATACGTTTCATCAATACATGATAAATTGAGTAGATTATTCATAAACGTAGTAGAAATAATAATTTTCTCCTTTCCTAATTTATTATCAAATTTCAAGCTACATTTCTAATTATGCACAATGACCACCACCCTTTTTCCTTAAAATAGAAAACAATAGTGGTATAAACCATAAAAGTTATTAATTATATATTGATTGATATATTTGTAGAGTGCTTATTATGGTTATTAATTTAAAGAATTTCATTTATATTCTGTCTACTAAAAAAAAAGAAAAAAAAAAACAAACAAACAAAAAATTCATTTCTGTATCTGTGATGTTGCTTGGCTTGCTTGAATTTTTATTCAGACCACATTAACCCTGTTTCCCTACCTTATATTTATTATTTTTCTATTAACAAATGATCATATACATGTTTACACCTTTCAAATTGTTTCGTACTAAAGCTTTTTGAGAGAGAAAAAAAAAAAAAAAGAAAAAATAGAAACAAAAATGAAAGAAAAACACATACATGCAACATAGCGTAGAGAAAATTGTTGAAGTAAAATACAAAATAATATTATTGGTAAATAAAAGTTCTATCTCTGGACATGTGGACCACTCACATCGACGTATGAAACCTTCCAGAGGACGCAAGGAGTTGCTTGGGTTACTGTGGTCACCAAGCTCCAATATTAGTCAATATGAGGTTGTTTAATTTTAAATTTAGTTGTCAGTCTCAATTTAGTATTTATGCCTGTTTGCAATGCTCTATATATTTTTTTTTTATTATTATTATTTATATTTTTTATGGTATATATCTTTGCTCATTTATTATTCAGTTATTATTATTATTATTATTATTATTTTTTTTTTTTTTTTTTAATGGTTTAGTTTAATTGTTTTCTTTAATTATTTTT